ATACAGCCGAGGCTTTAAACAATCAAATTAAAGCCTACTTCAAAAATTTCACTAGACGAGGTTGTTTTGAAGCCTAAGGGCCAATTTGGATGTACCCAAAATTAGAATATTTTTGGATTGCAATAAAAAAATCTTGTGAAATGGAATTTGACCGTTTGGACAACTACATGATTTTGCCAGAATTTTAGATTGGAAGAAAAAAAAAATCGTGTCTAGGAAAAATTCACCATCCAAAAATAATAATAAAAATAAAACAGTGTAGATTGGGGCAATCTTAGCCCTCCATTAAAAAATGGGCGGTTGGATAAGGGGGAGGATAGAACTTCTATGTTGTAGGAGGAACATAGAAAGCTTTCCCATTTTTAAATGGACACTATTTTCATTCCATTAAATAATCACAAAAAAATAAAATTTGAAAATGTAATCTAAAAAGTGTTATTTCAGCCGAAACAACATAAGCCGTCCATTTTGTTAAGGTGCTTAGATCTAGGCTTTAGAATGATTTTTCTCTTTTCGAAAGTTTTAGATAGCTTTGTTATCTTTAAATGAACAATGTTTTTTTTTTAAAAAAAGGTTTTGACTTCGTTGTTGGAAGGAACTCATTTTAACCATGATAGAAATTCAATTTCTTTTTTATTTTTGGAAATTGGCTATTGGGATGAAGAGAGGGTATGCGCAATTTTTTAGGTGATACAAATGCTACAAACATGGTTTTTTAGATGTGTGGTTGCATTATATTACTATACAACCATTGCATAAAATTATTCTCTGATATATACATATATATATGGAGTGGATTCTATACGCTCACTAGCTGACCACTACAGTAAACGCTAATGGCCCAGATTGAATCTAGGCCCCTCTAACGATCACAGATGTCTGATAGTGTTTGAATTTTAGTTGTTTTTTACAAATCCAAATCACATGAAATTTTAGACATGTGTTCTTCTCATCAATGCGCACTTAATAAAAATATAAAAAAAATAATTAGCAAAAAAAAAAAATTGAGGGTATTTTGGTCAATTTATTTCATGTAAAATATTTTTAATAGATTCGTTTACTTTTGAAGAACACACACATAAAATTTCAAGTGATTTGGATTTATAAAAAAAAAGATTTAAAATTCAAACACTAACGTGCATCCTTGATCGTCAGATCGGCCCAGATTGAATCTGGGCCGTGGGCATTTACTGTAACAGTATGCCCATGGGCGTACATAATCATTATATATATATATATATATAGGGTAAACCTTACAATAGCTTGCTAGCTATAATGAATAGTATGCATGTGTAATGGGAGCTGTCAGATCTTCATCATGTGGTTTAGAATGCATATCACTATTTTAATTTTAATTTTTTTTATATAAATTTGATTAATATGAAAATTTGAATGTATATATCTAATACTATTGTGCAATATATAAAAATATAAAACAATTATTTTCAATAATTTAAAATGACCAAACTAACCCCATCATTTTTCAGGGGTATTTCGATCATTTTGTATTTTTGGATTTTTGTTTTTATATTTTTTATTCGTGTACCCTGTGTTTTAGTACCCATGTCTAAAATTTCATTTCGATCCGATTTATAGAAAAATAATTAAAATTAAAACAGTGATATACATTATGAACCGCATGGTAAAGATCTAACGGCTCTCAATTCACCTATATTACTATTTATTATAGCTGGCCAGCTATAGTTAGTTTTTTTTTTTTATTATATATATATAATGAAAGATATGGGGACCATGACCTCTTTGAGAGTATGACTTTTAATAGAACAAAATGGATGACCATGATTCATGTAGTTGGCCGCAATTAATTTTGAAAAGTCTAAAATGATGATGATAATACAATGTGACTATTTACTATTGATATAAGGAGGTCACAAAGACTATTAAATTTGAAGTCGAACAGTTGAGGAAGTATAATTGTTTCTTTAGTAACCTTAAAACAAATTCACCTGATTTGATAGACTAGTAAAAAAAAAGGTTTAGACCAATACTCGCCCTCATCTTATAATAAATAGCACAAGAGAGAAGAAATGGACTTGCATGTTTTGTTCTCTTCCATTAAATTCTTTCAAATTTTTGCCAATGCAAAAGAAAGAAATATATCTAAAGAGATCATTTACTTTTAATATAAAAAAGTCACAATCATTTTCATCCTTCAAATTTTTAAATTTTTAATGAGTTAATTATGAGTGTATCATTAACTAGATTCTAAGTTCAAAACAAAAACTTTAACCTACTCCAATTTATCCAATTTGACATTGATCATTAAGATTAATTAAACCTTCTTGCATAAAAAGATAAATGGTCCTATTGCTTACAAACCTTTTAAGGAAAAAGAGAGACCGCAATCAATAGGAAAAGTGAGAGATCTTAATGCGGATCGTCCATCTGATAAAAAAAAGATAAAAGATTAGAAATGCGAGGGAAGCCTCATTTACACATTGCAGCGAGTACGGACAAGTTGACTTGCAAAATCCCGCAGACCTTTAAATACTCTGTTTTTACGTTTCTTACACAATTTATTCAAAGTTGTCTCCGCTCTCTCTCTCTCTATAAATTCCTTCATCGCGTCCATCACCTGGAATTGGAGGGAAAGAGGATGTCGAAGGTTCTTCCTTACGCTGTGCAAGATGTCCACTACGACAATGCCAAGTTTCGTCATAGGTCCTTCTTCAAGGTGCGGCTCCTACCCTAATCTCCATTTCTTCTCAAATTTTAGACATCAAAACCATTCCTGCGATCAAATTTTAGGCTTTGAAAGTCATTATTCTGGATTGTATCTCATGAATTCAGATCTGATCTTTTAATATGTGCAAACTCTGATCCCTGCTTATTTGTCACTTGGATTGTGTAGATGGAGTAAATTAGTAGTTTCAGACTGAGATTGATACTTCGATTTATTTATTTATTATCGCTTTGTTAACTTGAATTATGAGTCTTTTATTGAAGAAAGTGCGTAGGAGCTTATGTCAGCATTGATATTGAGGCTCTATTTGATTAGCATCTGACAAAATGTTATTTAATTCAGTGATTTTCTTCTCTTTTTCATCCCATTGCCATTTTGAATATATCCTAGTACTGTAAGAGTTCTTCGTTAGTTCTTGGATGGTTAGAGAAGTAAAAGTTTTACCTCCTGCGCGTCTATGTATCAAACGTGTGTGGAGCAGTGTAAATTAACAGTTTTGTAGACCCACTAATTTAGTGGAAACTCCACATGCCATGGTTTTGGATAAGACTTTTCTCTTTCTAGGGGAATCATGCCTTGCCTTTTTTTAATGGCGAGATACTTTTAAGATGTGTCATAAGCTAGCTAACCATATGCCTCTCTCAGCTTCTATGATATCCTCGTTGTATTTTTTCGAACTGTGAAACTCGGCCACTGAAAGATAAAGGGATTTGTTTTGTCTTTTGTCTTTTAGTGTCATAATACCTAAAGAGCCAATGCCATTTTGTCATCCATGTAGTCACAAGAGTAGTATATAGAGATGTTTGTTAGGCCCTTAATTTAGAGGGAAGATCACATATAATGTAGTTGCTTTTGTTATGTCATCCAGAACAAATGTAAAGATGATTATTGAAGATGGATGGAGGATGCGACTGGTACATAGATTTTCTCGCTTTTCAATCGATGGGACCAAAGCGGATTTGGACCAATATATGGTGTTTTCGCTTATTGAAATGTCGAGTAATATAGATTTGATAGTGATTTCAAGTGAGGTAGATATCATTTAGGACAGCAAGCTGATCCTGATGTCCCGTGCCTCGTGGGACAGTTAACTCAGTTGAAGTTAGTGTTATTCAAAATGTCAATTACTTCATTTCAATTTTGATATTAGTGAGATCAAAATTGTTGCAAATCTAAGAAAGATTCATTCAAATCTTGGCTGCCTTGATTGATGGTGTGAACGATAAGGACATAGAAAAAAAGAAATCGAAATTGTAAAACACGGGAACCTAGTGTTATGATGAAGCTTAATGACTATCATATGTCACAAGGATGACGGAAATGGTGTTTGTGTTTGACTGGACCCTTCTGTAACCAAAATGGCACAATTCTGAGTAATAGGGCTAGTAAAAATATTGTCAGCTGTAGTGGTTAATGGCTGATATGGCGTTGTTTTGTTATAAAACTATGTTTTAAGATGATAGTATCCTATTAGTCTAGGCAACTGAGTTCTGGCATCATAGAATTAGTGAGTTTATTTGATTTACCCACTCTGTGTGCTGTAAAACAGTTTCCATTACTAACTGCCATGGCCAAATTTGCCATATCCATTATATCCTTATCTTAGAAGTCCCAACTATTCCAAGGTTTTAGCCCCTAATTCTTATTTCATGTAATAAGCTCTGCTCATTGTCTGGTTACTGTTCATTTGTGCTATGTTTGCTATGCATAATTAGATTGGATTGCATGGATTTTAGTTGGTTTTTTCCGTTTTTTTTTACTTGAGAGGTGTACTAAGGGAATGTTAGAAGTTGATCATCGTGTGAGAAATTAGTTCGAACGTGTAGTTTGGGTATATTTGCACTGTAGTCCCCCAACAATTTACACATGTATGTATAGTTTTAGATATCCAATTTGAAATTGGTTGATTTCCTTAAATCCTAAAACCTTGAAAACCTGTAAAACCTAAACCCTAGGGACCATACTACCCTAGTGAACCATAACCTAGTGTATAATCCATAGGAAAGCTACCAAATCTACTTGAATCTAGGCAAATCAACCTAAATCTGACCAATTCTAGCATAATCTATTCTGATTGATTCCAAGCTTATCCAGAACAGTCGCAGAGTGTTAGAATGCCGGGAAAACCTATATTGGACACCTCAAAACCCATTTGATTTGTATCTGATCATCACTATTGAACTCAGCAGGAGGTTCGACACTAGGCGAAATCATTTAAACTAGAAATGGACCAGCAACGCGGTATGCATCACTGATCCCTTTTGGCCCTGGAATTGTTTAGGAAGCCCATTCAAGTTCATATAGGCACTTTTTAGTATTGGTTCAACTTCCGCTTCAGCTTCTAGAAGGTGACCTTTCAGGAGTTTTCTAGGATCCTAAAACCTGTAGAAGATCTGAGTCCTTTGATTGGTCAACCAATCAAACCCTACCAAGCCTAAAGATAGATCTAGAAGTCCTAAATCCCAGTTGAACTAGGATCTAGCCAAAGAACTATATAAAACCCCCTAAGGTCCTTTTAGAACCAGAACTTAAACCTTTAGGCTAGAGTCCTAACCCTAGAGAAGCCCTAGAGCCTAGAAATCCCTAGGATACTCAACGTTAATTCTCTAAACCCCAATTCTCTGCAACCCTAATTTCCAAAACCCTTAGGAAGAACATGCCTTAAGCAAACAAAACAAGTCCTTCTCAAATTCAAGCAAACCTCTAGGTTGAAGATGAAGATATTTCTTCAACTACTAGTCTAATCCAGGCCACGAGCTCACGATGTCAGAGGCACCGGTTTCCAAGTAAGTTGCTCTTCTTTTCTTTTCTTGGGTTCAATTTATTTCCTTTCTTGTCCCTGTTTTCTTGGTTTCTTTATGCATTTTGTGTGTTTTCAGGCCGGTTCTGCTGATGGATTGTGGGGAGAAGTTCTCTTTCCACATATCCATCTTATGCTCTATCAAAATTTTAATTGTTTAGTTTGAAGCATAAATTAGAGAGGATTTCATATCGAGATCTTCCCTGTTTCGGTTGTAAAGAGTTTTGCAACCACCGTGTCAAGTTTGAAATCATGTGAAATCCCGGCCAAAAACAACTTCAAAAATTTATTCTTAGGGTCTTTTCTTGGCTTCTAGAGGTTAGGAACATTGTATGGAGCAGATAAGAGGGGGTCTGGGAGGGCCCAAAACATTGCGAGGCAGAGCCCATCACAGGTGAAAGACAAGACCGTGATTTAGTACACATCACGACATCATTTTGTAATTGCCTGGACCCTAGCGATGCACTATGCGTCGCTGGTGGCTACCAGGCTATTGCATCTCTGGCCAGATTTAGGCCCAAGCTTCCTTGTTCTCTCCCTTTTGGAACTTCTAATGCCTTTTTCATTTTTCTATTTTTCTCTCTGTCATAGTTGTAGCTTTGAATATTTGCTAGCAATATTTTTCATACAATTTATTTTTTTTCTTGCTGCGTGTTTACCACATACTTTTACATGTGCACGTGTGCTCTTTTCCAAACCTCTTTGCACTTAACCTCTCAAAATCTATTTTTTGACAAATAAGAAATTGTCAAACCCACCGTTAAAGTTATGAGGGGCACCTAGCTGTTGGGAGCGGGATGGTTGGAGATCGTTCAACTTTAATGTGAGCATCCCTTCGTAATTCTTTGCCTCAAACCACCCACAATTGTAGGACCTAATAACAATACCATGAGGGTGGCTTGGGACTTACGTGGTTACCCATTGAGACCTAGCCGAATTTCAGCCTTTTTCTTAGTTTGGAACCCCACCTTGGCCTTAACCTACCCATCGACACTTGGTCAAAATTTTCATACCTTTTCATGTGGTATTTTGCTTAGCCTACTCTTAGTTTGGTCGGTTTGAGCATTGCCTGGTCTATCTTTGGTAGGTCCGAACCTTTAGTCTAGCATAATTTAGGAGCTATGTCCCAAGACAGAATTAGGGTGAGGTCCAATTCAAGTGCTAACTCCTCAAACTTATCCCTAACTAGGTTTAGGGCATTGACCACAAATCCGAGAGGCCCCATACAGATGTCCCTTGAACCCATAGTGCCCATGTGGGTGATTCTAGTCTAACTCATGTGGAGCCATAGTTAGAAGTCCATGCCTCTAAGTCAGTTTTTTGGACCGTCATTTAGGGAGACCACCAAGTCTACAAGACTTATGGCACCCTAAATAGTCAATCAATTAGACAAGGGCCAATCCTCTAAGACATGGGGATTAGTCTTAAGTCCTGGTGGTGTATCCAAGGTAGGTCAAATGTCCAAATCCTTGAAACCCTTGGGTTAGCCGACTCAAGCTGGGTTAACCCCAGTTGTCAGTCACCATCCCATCGTTCTAACCGTAATAACGAGTTGGTCAGAGGTCCAGTGAGTCAAGGCTCAGATAAGTTTAGGGGCAGCCCACTCTAACACTAGTAGGAGTCAGGGTCGTTAACTAAGTCAACTATAAGAAAGCCAAAAGGTGCAGGCATTCCTGCTAGACCTAGCTAATTGGGGATACATTATTCACCCTAGTTGGCATGGTCAAGGTAGGCCAGAAAGACAAACCCTCAGTAACCTTGAGCCAGTCAACTCAAATTGGATTTACCTCGAGAGTCAAACACCAGTTAGTCAACCAATCCAAGAACCACCTACAAGAAATAGAGCACCTATCCAGGGGTTTGGTTCTCGTCATCAGCAATGGAGTCCATGCCTGCCTCGAGGGCTTATGTTGTCCAATAGCAGTTATGGGCTTCGCACCCTCTTTCGGTCCAACATTATAGAGAGGAATGTTCCTAGGTCTAGTCCATCAACTGCTAGAAGTAGACCACCCAGTCAAGGCTTCGGCCCTGGCTATCAGCCTTCACGCCAGGGGCACCTAGACCTGGCTAACCAAGATCCACTCCAAAGGTCTAGTCACCATAGTAGCCTAGGGGATTCTTTCCAATTGTTCATTGGTGAGCACCGAATTTTGCAAAGCTTTTTAACGAAACATAGTGAGTCAAGGTGAGC